CGTCGTAGAGGGCGTCGGGTCCTCGGGCGGGAGTCCTGCTCGCCGCTCTCCTCCTCGGGGACGCTGGGCAGCATCCGGCTCTCGGGCACGAGGCTCCTGCCGAGGCCGGGCGTCGCGGCCCTGGCGGCCTCGAGGGCGTCCTCCACGGCGTAGCAGTCGGTGTAGAGGTCCTCGTAGAGGCCCAGGTCGTCCTCCTCGCTGGGCTCCGAGGGCAGGCCGTCGCTGGAGGGCAGCTCGGCCGAGACCTTCGGCGACGAGCAGGTGAGGAAGCCCTCGGACGAGCCGCCGGAGAACTCGGACCCGTTGTCGGTGACGTAGCTGTAGCCGTCGTCGTCCTCGAACTCGTAGACGGTCTCCGTGCCGAAGCTGTCGTGCAGGTCGCTCGGCAACGCGTCGTCGACCTCTGCGCCGCCCAAGGACCCCTCCCCTCGCTCGCTCTCCTCCGCCTCTGTCTTGTCCGCACCCTCCTTCGTCCCTCCCGCTTCCCTGACCGCCGCCTCTCCCTCTACCGCCTCTTGGGCGGAGGGCACCTCACTCCCCTGCGCCAAAGAGGCGTCGCTCACCTCTGCGCTCATCTCACTGTTAAGTCTTTCAACCTTTTCCTCACTGTTGGTCGATGCCGATTGCGCAAACACACACTTTTCTTGGCTTTTCGACGCCTCTGGTTGCGTCCGAACTTTTCCACTCTCCGCTGCGTCGACACTTTCCCTCTGAGTTAACGATATTTTTGAGTCACTGGCGACCTCCTCCTGCTCGCCTTCGACCGACTCTCGCGCTCGAGTCTGCCCTGAGATCCCAAAACCGCGCACTTCCTTGAGATAATCGCCAGCGACGTCACTCGCCCCCTCCGACGTCACTGCAGTCGGAGGCGGCCCTCGTACCCGCAACGCTTCACTCCCTCCCAAGTCCCCGGCGGACGCCCCTTGGCCCTGAGGAGACACGGAGATCAGTTCAATGTAGTCCTGCTCTGGGGCGCCGCACGCTTCGTTCCTGGCCTCACACAGCGGGGGCGCTCCTCCCTCGGCCGCCCCCTCGGCGCTGCCCTTCACGCTGTCGGGGAATTCGTCGAGGACGTCATCGCCGGCGGGGGAGTCCAGGATCAAGAGGTACTCCGGCGAGATGTTGGGCTGCGCGTCCGCCGCCGACGCCCGCTTTATGGTCTCCCTCTTGTCGCACGAGATGCTGAAGGGCGCGTCGGGCTCGTCGTCGGCGCCCTGACTAGCGGCCTCCGCCACGAGGTCGATGTAGTTGTCGGAACCGTCGGAGTCGGAGTCGAGCTCGTCGTCGCTGTCCTCCTCCTCGGACAGCGGCTCCTTGGCGGCCGCCTCCGGGGAGCTGCCGGCGGCGACGACGGGGGAGCTGCTGGCGGCGGGGCTTCCCGACTCGACGGAGCGCGGGGGCGGGGGAGGCGCTGGACGCTTGCCCGACCGCTTGAGCGACAGGAACGGCTCGCTGCGTCCGGCCGCTCGGCTCTCGCGCTCGGAACTGGCCTTCCCTTGGTGCCACGAGAACGGACGCCCCTTCAGGCTGAACGAGAACGCCTTGATGGACGGCCTCAGCTTGCTCTTCTGCGGCGGCGTCGCGGCCTTCTCCTTCGCCTCGGACCCGCTCTGAGCCTCGGGGGCGCTGGAGGCGGGTTTGGTGCTCCGGTCGATGGGCGGAGCCGACACGGTCTCGTCACGGGGGGCCGTGGTGGGCGCCACAGGCTGCTGCGGCTCCGGGCGGGCCTCAGTCTCCAGCTCCTTCTCGAGCTGCTCGAAGGGGCTCAGCGCGCGCGCCAGGTCGAACCTGGAGACGTCGGCCGGAGTGTTGAACGACGAATTCCTCGAGACGGTCGTCGAGGAGGACAGGGACAGGCGGTCGATCACGGTCGACACGGAGCTGTTGGTCTCGTCGCTCTCGCTCTCGCAGGGCCCCGCCGCGTCCTCTCGCCACGAGGTCCAGGTAGAAGGCGGGCGGGGCGGCAGGTCCCCGTCCTGGGCCTCCTTCAGCCGCCTGGTGTTCCACGAGCCAGGGATGCTGAACTCCAGGTCCTCCAGCAGCTCCTCCAGGTCCCCGGGGCACCTCCGCTGCGACAGGATGATGTCCCGCCACCCCTGCAGGGCCTGCTCCTTGTCCTCGGGGTCCTCCGCGCCCTCGGACACCATGCGCAGATGCTTGACCGCCAGCCTCCCGCCCTCCAGATCCTGGAATCCGCTCGGGGGAGGGGGCACGGGGGCGCCTCCTTCGGGGGCCGCGCCGGGGACTTCCTCGGACGAGACCTGGGGGAGAGGGGCGGGGCACGCGCTTCCTCATCTCCCCGATGAGGGGCGGAGGCGGCCCGAGTCGTCGTCGTCCTCGGCCTCGTCCTCCTCGTCCTCCTTCCTCCGCGCGGCGTTCGCGTCCGGCGCCGCGTTCTCGAACTCCGGGAGGTGGCCGCTGCCCTTGAGGACGCCGATGGTGATCTTCATGGCGGCGTCCTTGAGGAAGGACACGCACTGCACGCGCGTCATGGACGACACGGGGTTGCCCTCGATGTTGAGGATCTGGTCGCCGGGCTGCAGCTCGCCCCAGGGCACGGCCGCGCGCGCCGCCGGCGAGTCGGGCGCCACGCTCTGGATGAAGAGCCTGCGCACGCACTCCCGCGCGCCCATCCCGCCGTCGAACTTGAGGCCGAGGCCCAGCCGCTCCCCCGGGAGGCGGTACACCACCACCTGGTCCGGCACCATGGAGAGCGCGCCGCCCTCGGCCGTCGGGGCGCGGGCGTGCCGGTCCCTGCCGTCCAGCTCGCGCTCGATCACCTCCTGGTTGACATAGTCCGCGTGGGCGGCGTCGGGGGGCGCCAGGCGCACGCTCAGGTTGGCGTTGACGGCGCCGTCGTCGCTCTGGTGGAGGCGCAGGCTGGCGGCGTCGCTGTTGCTCCCCACGGCCACCACCGTGACGAAGCCCCGCGGGGCGGGCTGCGGGGCGGCCGGCGGCGTCGCGCCCCACGAAGCGTGGCAAGTCGTCAGGTCGTCCGCGTGCGGCGCGGCGGCCGCCTCCTCCGTGCCCTTGTCTACTGCGACCACCGTCACAAACTGGCGGTGCTCGCCGTGCACGTGCGTGGTGTGCACCTGCGTCGTGTGCACCTGCGTGGTGGCGTGCACCAGGCGGGCGCCCGCGGGGCCATCGCCGCGCTCGTCCGCCCACGATTCCTGGCCGAGCGGCCGCCCGCACTCCGCCCCCCGGAAGGCCTCCTCGGGGGCGTGGTGGCACGGGCCCGATACTCCGGCACTATCTGGCATGATGTCAGAGACGCTCTCGCATGCCCCGCCTTACCATGAGCCTCGCCTGCGCGGGCTTGCGGGCGGCGGCGCGGGCGCGCGCTCGGGACTCGCGGGTCGTCGGGATCAGCTCAGCGGCCTCATCTGCAACACAAGACGGAATTAGCGTCGCGAAACGGATCCGGATTACACTAAAGAGGGGCGGATTTAGGGGGATTAGCCCTAATCCTTCACATTACATGTCTGGGGTTTATGTCAGCAGATCCCTCGTGTCGTTGGTTTGCCGCCGTGACCCAGCTCCTCATCATGACCTGGGTCGCGCCAGAGCTTCGTCCGTGCGACGCCTCCCCTCAGAGTTCCCTACGACGAGTTTCACGATAATTCTGAAACGTCGTAATCCACCCGCCTCGATTCGGGACGACAACGAACTCGATTTTCCGACTCGGTCTTTATCCCAACTTTATTCTATTCGCTTCCGTTCTTGGCCAAGCAAAATATTAATAATCCAAAGACCGGGGAATATAAACAAACAACCGCACACAAACACACAAGTACAGTCACGCACGCACACGCTAGACCCCACAACCTTCCCCCCCCGTGTGTAAAGTGTCTCAAGAAACCGGTTCAGACCGAGCGGGTGTACTACGCTCGCCACGCCACTTACACGCAAAAGTCCCTCTTTAACAAAATCCTCCCGCAATTAAATAACTAAAACGACCCCCAAAGAGTTAATGAACTGAGGGCATGAGGAAGACACGACAGGTCACGGGATGACCGTAAAGCCTACATACAGGCCAATGGTAAGTTGTATATGTTATAAGTGGACAGTAGAAAGGTCACGTCAACAGCATATACACGCCTAACGTTGACAACAAGTTACCAGCCTTCACTCAGGTTTCACAGAAGTTAAACATAGACCGCAGCCAGTTCACCTAGGGCAGCAACAGGTCACAAACAGGTCACACGACTTCCTAACATAACTCATAAGTAGGGACAGATAACAGAGGTCACATACAGGTCATACATAAGTTACACATAATTCGCATCAAGATTACACGCAGGATACACATCACTGAGACCCAACTAAATACACACCCAGCAAGGATCATTATACAGGTCACATACAGGTCTTGTACATGACACACAACCTGCCTAAAAAGTTAAATCCAGGTCCCACAAGTTAAAGAAAGGTCCTCCACATGCCACACATGAGTTGAAGAAAAAACCCACACAACACCACATGTAAAAAACCCCACACACACGTAAGGTAAATACACAGGTCATGTGCTAATTAAATTTTTAAAAAAACCCACACAGGTCACACGTAAGGTAAATACACAGGTCATGTGCTAATTAAATTTAAAACCCACACAGGTCACACGTAAGGTAAATACACAGGTCATGTGCTAATAAAAAAAAAACACACAGGTCACACGTAAGGTAAATACACAGGTCATATGCTAATTAAAATTTAAAAAACCCACACAGGTCACACGTAAGGTAAATACACAGGTCATATGCTAATTAAATTTTTAAAAAACCACACAGGTCACACGTAAGGTAAATACACAGGTCATATGCTAATTAAATTTTTAAAACCCACACAGGTCACACGTAAGGTAATACCATGTTCTATGTGCTAATTAATATAAAGTAGAAAACACACAGGCACACGTAGGTTAAATACACTTGGTATATGTAATTAAATAACCAACACACCGGTACACTGTAAGGTGTAAATACACAGGTCATATGCTT